CAGAAGAAATGTTCTGTGCTTCTGGTGTTGCATATAAGATTCCATCAAATTGGCTAGGAGGGTAATAATATGTGTTGACGAGGTTGGGAAAGGCCTAAGTAGGATATGGTCAGAGGAAGTATAGCAAAAAGAAATCGATTTGTGTGCTTACGTGAACTCCAAAAGGAGAGCTGTTTCTCCTAACGTTGTGTGCAGCCGTAGAACCCGTAAACGCAGTCGAAGCGTGACCTCCACCAAAGCTATTCAAATGAGCATTCATATGAGCCACGTTGGAAGGAGTATCTTGAGCAGAATAAACGACTTGTGCTTCTGGGGAGTTTACGAGCTGGGACGGTGCATACGTAGCTGCACCGAAATCGCTGGAAGAAGCGGGACGATGTGCGTTGACAGTTCCAGCAACAATGTGGGTAAAGCTTGATGAGGCAGTGGGAATAGGAAACTGATCACTGGTATAGGTATCGGTGAAGTTGATGGAGAATGCAGGAATACTCTAAGTCCTAGTTGGTCAGATAAAGTACAACAAATAAAAGTTACACTTACCTGAGCTTCAAATATGGGAATGCTTCCACTGGCTTTGGATGCAGCGATAGAAGGCGGAACCTGAGCTAAAGCGAGACCAGTGACAATAGTATCCGTGACTTCTCTGGAGTCAACATTCGTAGGAACCAAGTTGGGAAGAATAGCTTGAGCATAGCTTGAGGATGAGTCAAGAGAAACGGTGTGTGCTTGTGAACCGTAAGTATGTCCCCCTGCATATGCGCTTGCTTCAAAGTCGCTGGAAGAAGCCGGACGATATGCATTGGCAGTTTCAGGAACAACATGAGTAAAGCTTGATAGAGTGGCAGAAGAGTGATCATTATATGCAACGAGGTTGGTAGAGAATGTAGGAAACCCCTAAGTACAAGTAGGTCAGAAAAAGTATAGAGAATATATGTTGTACTTACGTGATCTTCAGAGATGAGGCCGAGGTTGCTTCCTCTGACTGTTTCTACAGCCGTAGAAACGGGAAACTTAGTGGAAACGCGACCTCCGCCAAAGGTATTCGGGACGTAATTGGTGTTGGAAGGAACTTTCTTTGAGTATAAAAACTGGGATGCTGCATGTGCGGGTGTGTCATAATAGTTGAAAGAAGCGGAAAGACACCGTGTGTCCAGGCTGTGGCTGTGGATGATAGCGGGAGCAGCCTGGGTAGAGCTTGGCGCCGTCATGAAATCGGTGGCGGTAGCCTGAGGAACATCCTGCGGACGTGATGGTTACAAGAAGTACAATAACAAAGAAAATCGAATGCTACGTACCTGAGCTTCAACACTGCTTTCGATGGTGTTGCCCTCGCGATCAGGAATTGAAAAACGAACATCAGGGTTATCATCTATCACAGAGATTCAGAATGTAGAGCGGTAGCAGTGATAGTAATGCATACCTTTGTCACCTCTTTCAGTCGGTGCTAGAAGGATGCGATGGGTGACTGGGATGGGAGGCATTGCAGATATTGTTGGGCATTTTGGGATTGGGAAGTGCGTTTATAAAGTCACCATGAAGAGGGTTTTTGCTTGATCGCGGCTGGAGAGTGGACTGACCACGTCGGACTGCGAGAACATGAACGGAGGCGGAGGATGGTAAACATCCATGAAATCGATGCCTTCGTTCATTAACCTTTCCTAATCGGGGCTTAATGAGCCGCGTCGAATGTTAGGATTTGACTAAAAAAGGGCCAAGCAAAGCGCAATTACTAAGTATAGCAGGCGAAAGAGTCTGGAAATAGGTTTGGGAAGGGCGTTGCGGTTGGCACGGGCTCTCTAAATCACGCCAGCTAAATTTGGAACGGCTGTCTAACTCTAAATCCTACGGCAAGTCATCCAGTTGTTCATCCGGGTTTGAATTACTTACAGAGGAGGCTAAATGTCAATATTTTCTAAATCGGGCCGCGGGGCCGGGACTGGTTATCGTATGTTATCTTGCTATCTTGCAGAACTCGTGCCTACCAGACACAGCGTTTGACCTTGTGATAGGCTTCAGACTTAAGGAGCTCAGTATACTTCTCCCAAAGGCTGAGGACGTCAGCCTGTTCTTTCTGGGAATTAGAGCAGGCACACTGACCTGCCTTTTCTAGAACTCTGCCAGACGCTCGATAAGACCCAGTTACAGGAGCAAAATAATTGTTTGGGGTTCCGACACGTCAACAAACTGTCAACTACAATGCATTCCACTCAGCATCATCCTGAGCATCTTTTCTTCCCCTTGACTTCTATCATTGGTTCTTTATGTCAGGACATCAAGGAAAGAAGAGTACCGGCGAATTTCGCGTTCGGTTTGCGAATATGTTCACTCAAGAAGCAAATAAGGAGAATGTCGAAGTCAAGGCTAGACAGGCTGCTCGCCAAATACTATGGAGCCACCTTGATTTGAGACCAAAGCAGTGCACGCTCATACAAGCACTATATGACGCGTCAGAGAATGGTGACCCGGACAGCAATCAAATAGAAGGCCATCACTTTGCGCCTTCTAATCCAGTACAACAAAACGAAGCCGCATCTATTTTGATGACCCACAGCCTTGACAGTGATTCAATGGAAGATATTGGGAGTAGATGGAGCGTGAAATGGTCAAAGAAGACTGGAAAGGGCAAGAAAGAGGAGCGCCGGACACTACCAATGGTGCGTGCATATATTTACATTCTTGATGGTAAATTAACCCTGTTACTTTTATTTAGTGATTGTGGGTGGGATAATATCATGTTTGGAAGTAAGAAACACCACTTGATTTCACAGGTTGTTTGGCACATGTCGAGACTACTATACAAACACATTCCCAGAAGGTCTTTTGTGCTCACAGTTTTTTATGCCATAATGATGCCTGCAACACCAGTTCTCTTCTCCCCAGAGAAAGCTCAAAAGGAAGCAGTCATATGCCCTACATTAGATGGACTTGGAAATGGAAGGGGGCATGATATATTACGCAATGTATATAGAAATAATATTTGTGATTACCCGATATGAAGTTACCTGGGCATTTATCGGAGTTCCCAAATGGGCAGGTTGGTGTGCCTGCTCAGTTTCCAGTGAGGGCCTTCTATTTGATTGCTGTCCGGGTCACCATTCTCTGACGCGTCATATAGTGCTTGTATGAGCGTGCACTGCTTTGGTCTCAAATCAAGGTGGCTCCATAGTATTTGGCGAGCAGCCTGTCTAGCCTTGACTTCAACATTCTCCTTATTTGCTTCTTGAGTGGACACATTCGCAAACCGAACGCGAAATTCGCCGGTATTCTTCTTTCCTTGATGTCCTGACATAAAGAACCAATGATAGATGTCAAGGGGAAGAAAAGATGCTCAGGATGATGTTGAGTGGAATGCATAGTTGACAGTTTGTTGACGCGTCGTAATCCCAAACAATTATTTTGCTCCTGTAACTGGGACTTATCGAGCGTCTGGCAGAGTTCTAGAAAAGGCAGGTAGGTGTGCCTGCTCTAATTCCCAAGATTACGGGAGGTAGTTCAGAAAGAGCGGTACGTGACTATATTTCTATCTCAACGGCAAGGACCTACTGGTATCTTTGATAATACTGGACATATACACGTTTTTTGTCGAAGAAATTCTAGATACGGTCAATTTGCTTAGATGACTTTGTGTGAAGTTGCTTAATTGCGTGTGGCTAAAGCTTGAGTTTGATGGTCCAGCAGGCGACGCATTCCTTGGTTCCTCGGTTCCCCTTCAACCTCGTCCCATACCTCGCAAGGCCTAGGCAGATCTACGGCGAAGCAATTCCAACATTACGAGTGCTTCGTCTGAAGCTGTCTGAAGTGCTCGGTACCACACAGGCAGCCGGCATGTCGGCGGTATCACATAATCCCCATGTGTCCAGACTTGCGTCACCTGGTAAGCCACACCACCTCGGCAGTACCCGGACTGCTGCCTATCGGTCCTTCAAACGCTGTGAGAGTCTTCTGTAATTAAGGTTTTCAAGATCTATTTTGGCTGTTCTTCTGAAAATCCAGTCTTATTGTTGTAACATGAAGCCCACGTAGACACTCATGCGCACGCGGCAATGTCAACATTGGCACATGGCATGGCATTACCCCCGGCTGAACTGGATATGAGCCACCTGCCCTAACCCTTTGACCAGCTGCCCAAAGTTCCAACTTTGACAACTTGAAAGGTTTACCAGTATTGTTATTCGGCGCCTCCGGATAGACGAATTAGCCCGGATTAGCCCTTGTACTATAAATTTAAAAACTCTTACATAAAGCTTGAGGGCGCAATACATTCTAATATGGGTAATGATTTCGATTTGGTGTGCTCAAGAATTGCAGTTCTATTTATGTACCCTCATTGCATGTAACTTCCGTGGATCCAGAATGTGGTGTGCTGGCTTTGGCAATGTATGGATTCAGATTGTTATGTAATTGTTTGGATGGGAGATATAGAAGATATAGGAGGGAGATTACTTCCTCTTGTGAGTATAGAAATATAGTCATTCAAGACGGTATACATGGCTCCTTGAGTTATTCAATTATTGGTGGTGAATCCAGAACAGCGTTGAAGTTGAATAAGCAGTATCCATTGATTTACTGGTCACAAAATAATGTGAACAACGTCTCGGAACCCCTCGCTTCTCCTTGAGAAATCAGCGTGACATTGGATTTGAGCCTTCTCTCGCTGATCATAGTGCAAGTTAGTACGCATGACATAGGAGTTATATGCGTAAGCAACAATTGACCTTCATTGAACCCTCCTGCGACGTCTTGAGGATAATGTAGAGCCCATGGCTAGAGAGTAAAACCTGCTTGTGATTGACTAAATGTTTTTGATTTAATCAGGGTGCTTGAAAGTTGAGAGCATATACCCTCGACTCTGTCAAAAGATCCTGCTACGCATTTTTGGTAACCTTGGTCTAGATTCATACTCTGCTGCCAATGATTGACCGCGCTTATCAAGCAACGAGAACGAAAGAAGGAAAAGCCATACAACCTCCGGCTGAGCCCCCAACCGTGAAAAATAATTGGGTTTGGTAGTTTAGTTGGTGGAACGTCTGCTTAACAATAATGCGCAGAAGGTCGTCAGTTCGAGTCCGGCCCAGATCATTTTGCTTTTATTTCTTCTTTCCTTTCGTTGTTTAAGTAGATTTATTTTATTCATTGGTTCTTTGGAAATTAGGGGATTTATGTTGTCAATCATCCTGAGCTACTTAAGGTACTGTAGCGCTGGTGGAATTAACTTTGGACGTCATCCTGTCACGGTCAATGTGCGCACTGAGGTATGTCTATTACTATTATATAGAGCATAATCAGCTTCGATTCTATTATGTGCTCCCCAGATCAATAAAAATTATTATAATACTTGGGAACCTGCCAACTAGAATACTGCATCCGAGGGCCGAGCTAGAACTCCCCCGCCCCGCTCTTCTACATGACTTTGGCATGGGAATTTCGAGAATAAGAAAAGGCAGAGATGACGTGCATACATCCCCCGACGTTATAAGGCATCAAATAGTACATTTGTCTGTCTGGTGCATGGCTCGACCTGGTAGATCGGATAATAAGTATGCAGATTATTGTATCGCAGCTCCGATTATCCTGATGAAGGGGTGATATATGTGCGGGAGTTGAGTTGGGATTATTGTTTTTGACTGAAGTGCTGTACGTAGACTTACTGAACGTTCCGCTGTGAGGTTATACCGAACTTCTTAAAATCAAGCTGAACTGTAGAATAGCAAAATACCACCAAGGTTAGTGCAAATTCAGTTATCTCCTACTTTCATCCATTCAAGCTGCATATACATACCCTTCCCGCTTGCTATTATAAGTCTCCATCACTTATAAATTGCACATCATTCTCATTCGCCACCCAAGAATACCCATCATGATGCATACCTATTTCTGACCTCAATAACGCAGTATGTATAATACTAGCCCCTTTTGCCTCTTTGACGTCGACCCTTTGAGCGGCTGTCAATGTCCAGATGGGAAAGAATAATAACAAGGCCTCGCCCCTCTCCGTCCCTGGCCAAGCTGCCCGTTGTCTCCGCATCCCTGATTCCTTATAATTTTGAGTCCTGGACCATAACAATAACATAATTGAGGATATAGGGAAGTAGAAAGTCGATGAGCAACAGCAATTCAGATTTAGGGATTTGCTGTTCGCCGGACGGTTCCTAACTCCATTTTTGGAAAGATGTGGACAGGGTACTAGGTAATCGTCTCGGTAGGGAAATACTCATAGGTATCCTGCAATTTTGTGGATCCTGGATGCGGTGTAAAGTTGTAGATATTGGCTTTGATCGTTTGTTTGGAAAGAATGGATGGAGGTACAAGAATCCATTGTGCGTTGAGGTTTTATTCGAGAGGGTGTGAACGGCTCTGGGATTGCTGGGAGTGCTATCAGGCCGTTTATTTGGCTTGCTGGGTGGGAGGTAATAATCGAGAACAACGAGGGGAATTTGGTATCTGGTAAGCTGAACGGTTGTGAAAAAAATGTGCATTGGAACTGAAACGTCGTCGTAGAATTTTTGCTGATGTACAAGCCCCGGAGCATGTCCGACAGACGGTCGGCGAATGACCGCCGTTTTAATTGAATTGCTTCTGCGCCGTTTGCACTGCGCACACATGGGAATAAAACTGTTTTCGATCAAAAACGCACTTGAAGAGCTTACTCAAATGGAGTTGTCATATAGGAGTTCGCCAAGAAACGTAGCTCGTTGCTCATCCTAAGTACGAGTAGCGACGTCATGAAGAGCTGAGCAAGTCGTAAATCCTGCCTAAGCAGCTGAAGATGTTTTGATGAGGATCAATCAGAGTGCTTACCATACATGTGCACGCTCGACTGTCAAAGATCGCGTTACACAGTCTGGTAGCCCTGTTTATATTTAGATTTAGGAGCAGTAGCGAGGACTCTGTCAATGTAGTTGCGAGCAGCGAGGATGAAAAGCAAGAAAGACAGCACTGTCCAGTAAATACTTAGACATTCGAGTGTCACTGCAGCTCATTTCAGTTCAGCTCTTTAAGGTTTTTTTCTGAAATGAGAACTGAACCACTTGAAATGGTTCAGTTCAGTTCAGTCAAAGTGCTGAACCAGTTTAGAAGATTCTTTCAAGGGGAGGCTTCCAGGCATGGGAAAATGACATGCAACACTAGTTCCTAAGTAAAACTTCAATGATATCTTGTAAAAAACTCATTGCTGGCTGTCCTGTCATTGATATTGGTCAAAGTGAGAGATGCAACATGTTCTGAACCACAAACAGAACCAGTTCAAAAGAACCATTTACTAAGGGCTATACATCGCAGTCAAGTGACTTACTTAAATTCATATAGAGTAAATTAAGTATTTGGTGCCATAATTCCAACAAAAATAGGGAAAAAGGCACATATTTTGTAAAAATTCCGATTTTTTGAGCATAATCTGCAGTTGGACCAGAACCAGTTCAGGACTGGTCTGATAAATTAGGCTTCCAAATTGAACCATCTCAAACTAGTTCTATCAGTTTGGTTTGAAACAGTTTGGTTCAGTAGTTTGACAGTTTGGTTCTTGGTTCTCACACTGAACCACAGCTTCATTAATACACTCTGAAAACTTTCTCTATTATGGTTTAAACAAGATACATGAGGGTTTGAATGATTACAAGAGTAAGAAAACATGAAGTGGATTATCCATCGAACCTCAGAACACTGTATATATGTATCTGCACATCAAATGAATGATAGTATGATATAGGCTTTTAAATCAAAGAAAATTCTATAAAAGATTCAACTACTGACTTGTACATTATTCTTTTAAAGGTTGTGAGCTTCAGTCCTTATGGGAGGACTTAGCTGGCAGAGTTGGCCACCTGAAGAGCCAGAAGTACAAATATGGACTTCCCAAATGATGCTTCCAGATGTTCTCTGAAATTAATGTCACAATATTGATGTTCTATTTGTTGGACTCATTTCTTATACAAAGTCTCTGTCTACTGTAAAAACTTCATACTCAGAAACCTCAATAACAGAGTTTGAGGATGTATTGGTGGATGCTTTAGGTGCTGCGGCTAACTAAATATACTAAGATTTTACAATTTATAACTTAATCATCAATCTTCGAATTTATAGAAGTAGACACTAACAGCAGCAGCACAAGCCGGCTGGTTGTAGACACTGCTGACCAAACTGCTTGTTCGGGCTTTAGCTTTGCTTGAGAGTGGCGCTGGAGCTTGCACTAATTCAATTTGCTGGGAGGGACAAAAAGGTTTTACTAAGTTGGATTCAGTATTGGTTCGCAATGTGTTAGTATGGGTTATGCATCCTGCATTTTATACTTATTTATTACAATTTGAAGTTTTCTTGTGTCAATATCCCTCTCTAATCGAGTAGAACTTACGGACCAGCTAGAATACTTGTTAAATTAATTTACATTCGAGATGAAGCTCAACCTTGAGCAATCATCTTCCGTGAGAAGTGCGTCCACTACTTATGATTTATTTAACTACTCGGCCAACACATACTCTCCCAAACTTCAAGTCCCACTGGCAGCGTGGATCCAACCTGTATAAACATAGTGCGCTCTCATAAAGCATTGGCTCTCTGCGATATTCTCCAGTCCCTAAGGTAATTGAATGGATCCATTTCAACTAGCAGAGGAGACCATACATGCAAAATATCCTAGATTCGAGTTAGCATAGAATCATTTATGGTGGAATATATATTTGCCTTTTGACAGAAGAATATAGCCACAAGTAATGGGTCTAAAATCAATCTGAGAATAAAAGATAAATAATTCAATAAACTGGCTCACAGAGATGCTCTGATAAAAATCCCCAATCGAAAAGCCATCCCAAAACGGTAGGAGAAAACGAGACATTGTGAGTCAATATATCCTCAATAAGAGCGAAACTGCCTTGGCTCATTAAACTTTTAACCTTTTATGCAATGTGCATACGTACAGTGTAAAAATTAGTCGGACAATACACATAATAAGTAGCCGGATAGCCAAACCCTTCGAGAAACCGATATCCAGATTCTTATTCTTCATGCGTCTTCGATGTCGCAGGAAAACAATTGTCAAATATGCTGTTCATTATTAGTACCACATAGCTATTAGGATATAAAGCCACACTCACCATCCATTAACACATTAATGAAACTGATAAGAAGACCAACATACGATAATATTGTTGTCGCGGGGGTAATTCGTAGGCTCGTCTATAAAAATGGTTATATAACAGATATTATTATTAAACATAGATTAGCATACTATTCCAAATAATCCAAGAATATACGGAATCACAAGCAGCTGCTTCGTCTTAGCTCAGGCTATCCAAAGATAGATCATACACGTACAATCACTGCGCATCCTGTCTCTCCACTTGCTGGTTTACCATAAATTGCCCCTCTCACGATGAAAATGAGCTAACATAGTATAGTGAGTAATGATACTGTTTTACTGAGAGATGTGTCTTGTTTTACATGGATTATGAGAGACAGGAAGGCCCCAATGAAGCTACACAGATGGAAAATAACCGAAGGATACTGTAAGGAGGTTGGAGTATAATAGAATAGATGGACTTGCATATTGCTAAGAGTATTCCTCATAGTAGGCCAAAAAAAGCTCTCTTCAAACATGATCTTTTGGTCTATGGGCAAAAGAATAAGAGTGAGGTCCCTAAGTTGAGGTTGAGAGACAGAAGGCTGTTAAAAAAAATCGACGACGTACTCGAGGACTATCCAAGCTGAATCCAGGGCTGTGCAAACAATTAAATTCACAAAGACCGGATGCCGTTGAATTGACTGCGAGAGGCAGATAGTAAGCAGTAGAGAAGAGATTCCAATAAGGCCGATGATATTGACTCCCATCAAGACAAAGAACACTATGTTTGCGGCCGTCATTTTCTGAAGTTGAGAGAGTAAGGCGGATATCCTTCTAATTGCCAGTATGCTTGATTTTGTAATTTATAGACAAACTTGAACGCATGACATGGCAACGGGTATCAGCTGAGCTCTAAAGCCATGGTTCTCAATGACTGGGAGATACGGTACTATCTAAATAGAACTCAAAAATAAATTTCACTGGCCTTCGAAATTGATCTACATACAACGTACCGGTGATGGTGGAG